AGAGCCCTCTGAATAATGTAATGGAACATTATATTACCTTAAAAGAAAATTGTTAGTCGCATGATTAGAACAAAATGCACCAATCTTCCCTCATAAATCCAATTGCTACTCTTCCATTACCCTCAAACCGCACTGATTCTCCAGCCACCACCTCTTTCATTTTCAACCACGGAAGAAGAAAATCACTGTCCAACAATTGCATTAGGAGCGAGTCCAAACAGCATAGATGGACTCTTCAGGGCATGACAGCTCTCGTCACTGGTGGAACTCGCAGAATAGGGTACCAACATTTCATTTTTCAATTTCTATTTCTCACCCTTTTCACCTCATCCTCATTTTAACTTGTGATTTTTTGTGGGGTACTGTAAAGGCACGCCATTGTGGAGGAATTGACGGGGTTTGGAGCCAGAGTGCATACTTGTGCCAGGAACGAGCACGATCTCAATAAGTGCCTTGAGAAATGGAATGCTTCGGGTTTTGAGGTCACTGGCTCAGTTTGTGATGTCTCAGTTCCTCACCAGAGGGAGGTGCTTATGCAGTCTGTTTCCTCTCTCTTCCATGGGAAACTCAACATCCTTGTAAGTTGTTGTTCCAGATCTAACATTGATAAGTAATATGATTGAAATAATGTATATAAGTGCATAACAATCTTCATTTTATAATTAGCTTTTAAGGTTAAGTCAATCCCAAACTCATCATAAAATGATTTGAGTCTATTTTAATAGTTATTGTTGGACCTATTGAACCAATTCCTTATCGAGCCATTATGAGACTATCTGCATATGTTCAATCTTGTAACTCTTGAGGGGAGGGGGTGTTTCATGTTGATAATCATGACTCTTACGTTCATTTTTCCCCATGCTATCAAGGGAGATTTAGCATTGGTTAATAATATGACTAAAATAATGTATATAAATAGGGAATAATCCTCACTGCTAGCTTTTAAGATTAAGTTAATCCCAAACTCAAATCATAAGATGATATTATAGCCTATTTTAGTAATTGTTGTTGGACTTATTAAACCACTCATTAACGAGTCATTATTAGACCACTTACATTTGTCTAATTTTGGGAGAGGGTGTGTTTCACGTTCATAATTATAACTATTGTGTTCATTTTCCCCCCAATGCTATCAAGGGTCAAAATATGCATTTTTCGTTGTTCTGGATTGCTTTGAGGTTCACTCTGGATTAGTAACCCTCTTTATTTGTAGTAACCCTATCAGT